CCACAACACTCAGGTCCCTTTGCTTTGGCTTTATTAACATCCGGAAAGACCCACCCCCACCCCCCGGGGGACCAGCCCTGGGGCACCCAATAAATACAGGAACAGTCGTGGGGGAGTCGCCCTGCTGCACTGCAGGGGCTAAGACACATGGGAATAAATAACGTGGGACCTGCCACGGCCAGAACGGGTGGAGCGGGGAAGCACTGATGTCGTGCCATGTGTGTGCACATGCTTGCACACCTAGCATTACACACAGATGCACATGCATGCACATGCAGGCTCTCACATGTGGGAGGGTGTTGCCCTGGGAGTCTGCACAGGTAGTGGAGTGTAAACTTGTGTGCACATGCTCACAGGTGCAGTGTAAATGTGTGTGCACATGCTCACAGGTGCAGTGTAAATGTGTGTGCACATGCTCACAGGTGCAGGGTGTAAACGTGTGTGCACATGCTTGCAGGTGCAGTGTGAACATGTGTGCACATGCTTTCAGCTGCAGGGTGTGACATGCACAGTCACACGTGCACACATGCCTGCATGTTTGCACAGGGTCTAACCCGTGCACACGTGGTCTCAGGGGCTGGTGTGCCAGTAGGCGACGGGTATGACAAGTTTGTAGAGCAGGCGGAAGAGGTTGAGGACGGCGGCTTTCTCCAAGCACTCACGGGACGCCTGCGGGGACACACACACACACACACGCTTGTGTTAGAGCACACACAACAGCCACAAATTCCCGTGGGCATGCGGGGATTGCACCCCCAGTCTCGATTAAAATAAGTCACGGTCACGTGCCACGTCCCCCTCCCCACAGCGTGGCCCCTTGCGCTCGCTGCCACGCATGGCTCTCACCTGGCTGCTCTTGGCCCAAATCCTCTGCAGCCGCTTCCTGAGCCCGGTGGGGGCCTGGAAGGCGCCTCTGGGGGCCGGTGCCTTGAGCGGGATCTGTGAGGGCGAGACACACGCGTGTTGCAGACGGCTGCTTGGGGTGGGGGTGGGGGGGTCACACCCACAACTCCTCCCAAATTGGGGAGGGGGCGATTAGCTGCCTGCTCCTGAACCAGCTCCTCCTCCTCAGCCAGGCCTGGGGTGGGGCGAGGGGCCTGGGAGCAGGACTGAGCCCCCCTGCAGGGAACTGCGGCTGCTTCTGGGGTGGAACGTGTCACGGGGGGTTCCCACGTGGGCAAAAAGAAGCAGCAGAGTTGGTGGGCTTCGTCTCTGACCGATCCCAGACAGAGGCGCGTGTGGGGGCCCGGGTGTGGGTCCCCCCCCACTCAGCCAGGCCTGGGGTGGGGCGAGGGGCCTGGGAGCAGGACTGAGCCCCCCTGCAGGGAACTGCGGCTGCTTCTGGGGTGGAACGTGTCACGGGGGGTTCCCACGTGGGCAAAAAGAAGCAGCAGAGTTGGTGGGCTTCGTCTCTGACCGATCCCAGACAGAGGCGCGTGTGGGGGCCCGGGTGTGGGTCCCCCCCCACCCACTACTGGCTGTATGCGGGCACATATGGTAGACGCTCCCTGGGGCGGGGCAGAGGCAGCTGCTTTTCAGTGGGGCGCTCGAGAGGGGCAGGGGATCCGTAGGGCCGGTCCCCGGGTGGGGCCCCCCAGAGGCAGGGGCACCCC